TTCCCTCTCTAGACTCCTTCCTCTTCCTCATAAAAGAGACCTAGTAGTTAAACCTCAGCTGTCTCTGACCCTCATCAGTTGCTTCCAGGTCTGTAGTGTGAAATGAACTAGCTTATCCAACAGAAGCTTTTCTACTACTTAGCCATGTTTTTGAGGCCTCATGTTTTTGATGAGGCCACTGTCTCTCAGGATGCTAGAGGAAAGCTGAGGGATTGCTGCTCATCACAACACAATCCCCTCAGCCCTGATGTGGGCTAAGTGCTGCTATGCAGGATTGCCATCCAGGCAGCACTACTTGCCATAGTGCAGTTTTCTTCTGCAGCCTGGGAGCAAGCAAGGGGTAGGGGGATCACTGCAGAGAGGAAGCTTATGCTGAATTTGAAAAGCCTCTTCTGGATCTAATTGCTGCCACATGAACTCCCAGTTCCCTTCCCTATGCATCTGCTCATAGGAAGAACTAACTAATGGAGTAGCTGTGACAACGACAGTGACGGTGAGAAGATAGTGTCTTTGGAGCAGAACAGGATGTTCCAGTGGTCACAGATCTGCAGTGCGCTCCAAAAAGGGCTTGAGGAAGGTTCTTTTCTGTTTCCTTCTGATTAAACAAACACATTTTGCATTTTGGTTTACAAGACTTAATCCCAGCATGCACATCTTGCTGACTCAGGATGACTGCGCAGATAAAGACTCTACCAGCAGGTCAAATCAAAAGACAGGAGGTGCAGGAGCTCTCCCCTTATCCAGCACACGTTTTTAAAAAAGAAGAGCCATGGGTAACTAAGAGCCGTACAACAAACATTTTCCTGCAGACTTTTTTTTACCTTCTTGTCTTGATAGAGGAATTCCTGTTTAGCTGGAGGAGACCCACAAAACAAGAGCTGTCCACTTCCATTTAGAAAAAAGTAGAAGTCATTTGTCAGCAACATCCTTTTCTGCCAGTCTACTGAAAAGCAGACCCACTGAGCTCTGTGCCACAGCAGGCCAACAGTTTATTAATCTGCCTTCAGGTAAGATTAGCTCCATACACTCACTCACACCTGCACATGTGGGCAAAAGGGTACACCACTAAGGGTACCGTCCAAGCCCAACAGAAGCAAAAACGGACAGCATGGAAAACGCTTAAGTCACGGACTCTCCCATCTCTGAAGCCAGAGCAACCGAAAGGAAAGGATCCAAAAAATTACAAGTTGCCTCCTTTGTACTCCTTTCCATGGGTTGTCTTCCTGCACAAAGGACTCTGGGCTTGCATCCGATGGGCTGTTATAGAAGAGACATTATTAATAAAGGCCTCTGTGATTATGAGCTGCATTTATTAAACTGCTGGAGCAAGGGGGTACAAGGCAACAGGGGTAGCCTGTCTGGTCTACCTCGGCATAATACTGACTCAGTGTTTACAGAGAATTTGAAAAGCAGAGGTAAGGGCAATTCTGACAGTCCCAAGGGAGTTGCTGAGTACTCACCTGGGCTGAGTCTGCAGCTAACTTCCATGGCTGGGTTCCACTGCCCATTCTTACAGGTCAGGTATTTATAATCTCCCTTCAGCATGTAGCCTTCAACACACAGATACTCTATGACACTGCCCGAAGTTAGAGGGTCATTGCAGGGACTAGGGTGGCATTTATAGCCGCCATTCTCAGGCTGTGGTGGTTGCGGACAATCTGGAAAAAAAGGAGAAAGTAACATGGATGATGTCTCAGAGGAAGATGTCTGTTGCACAACTGCTATTTTGAAGATACAGCACATAGCTAGACTTCCACCTACCAACAGCCACTAAACTGAGAAGAAACTACCATAAACAAGAAGATGGTTATACAACAACAGAGAATATTGTTCAGTTCCATCTTTGACGCATCAGCCTTTGTGATGGCTGAATTCAGCTTGTTATCCCAGAAGCACAATCTAGACAGCAAGCATCAAAATGATTACATTTTGGAACATGCAAGCTTGTTACAACAGGGATTCTGCACAAGAGGCACCCAGAAAAATCCTTATCTTTTCCCCACAGCTGTTTCGCTAGAGACTTGAGGGAGTCTAACAACCAAGGTTCTTGATCAGCCTTCCAAGTCCGATATGGAAAAAGGATTCCTACTGGAATGAAGAATGCAAATACCCCCATGTACTATGGGTGCAATGACCAGGTACACAGCTGCCCCATACCATACCCTAGAAACCCGTAAGATCACAGATTTTAGCTATTTTACACAGATACTCCACAACAGTACGGGAAATTGCTTCGCTGCACTGCAACTATGTATTCTGGCCTTTCTATTTTAGAAAGGAATTAGCTATGTTAAAAAGACATTTCTAAAAGCCCTTCTGTTTTTCTATGTGAAGTCTGAAATGCAGAAGGCCTTGTTTATATTGCTCCTTGCATCTTCCCTGTCCTGACAGATAGGCATCTAGTCAACATCTCTGGCAGGGACTCAAGTGTTGCAATACCCACCTTAAAGAATCTTGCAAATAGTTCAATTAGGGGTTTTTTTCTTTTCTTTCTTTCTTTTCGATATAATTGATGGCAACATTTTTAATACAGCTACATTTTTCTGATACAGTTATGTTTCACCTTCTTTAGCAGAAGGTCTTCTTTAGGAGACCAAAGTAGGCCTGTCCTTGAAACACTTAGCCAGGTTACAGGGAAGTCAGAGAAATTTCTTACAGAACATTTAAAAGCCATTCAATTAAAAACAACAACCCACAAACAGGAAACTGCACTGAAACCAGCATGTTTGTATTGCTTAGAATTTTGTCTCCTCTGGCAGGTCATAGTGACTCTTTGCAGAACAGCCCTACTGATAGGCACCTCACTAATGCCACATACTTTCCTGACTGAAAGATGGAGAAATCTAGACTTTTCACTTTAAATGCAGATCAGCTTCTCAAACATTACAGAAGAAAATATGGCAAAGCTCCCTCCACTGACACTTTAGGGCATGGAAGACCAACCAACCAACCCACCCTATTAAATCACAGCAGGGTCATCCAGGTGGTTCCTTTTATCTTTGGAGTACCTGTTCCCAGGCCCTGCTTTTAAGTGTCCCACTTACTGTGGGAAAACCGGGGAGAAACCCAATCGGGCAAAGTTCAGTTAACTAGATTTTTTACAGGACCTAAGAAGAATAAGAACACTTATAAGACTCACTACACTATGGAAAAAATTGCTACATTGCTGCAGAGCAAGCAACTCTTGAACCTAATCATGTGAGAATGCACGCTAGGTAGAGCTTTATGAACACCAGCACACCCCAAGACAAAGTGCTGAATGAAACCCAAAACTTCTGCCAACTTCATAACTGCAATTCAATTTACTTCTGAGAGAAAAGGTTAACAGTGGTCTGCGAGGCAACCCTTCAAGACCACTTTGTTCTCAAAGATATTTAGTCTAAATAGGGTTCACAGAAACCAGTGTCCTGTCCCTCATGAGCATTAACTGCTGCCTTTACCGGGTTCCTTTATATCTTCCTTTCTGCAGTCATTTCCAATTTTGCAATCCAGGTTTTAACCCTTTACCTTATGAGTCTAAAACTTGCTTTCATTTTAAGCCTGTCCAACGCTCACATCAGCTAAAACAGACTCATGACACATTTTACATTTAGGTGCATAGACAAATGCCTTGCTGCATCTGCAGCCCAGGAAAGAGATGTTTTAACTGTAAGGACCAGACTGAGCATCGGAAATATTCTCAGGAGTTTAGCAAGTATCCCTCTAGGCAACGGTAGAGAGCTGTGGGAAAAAGCTTCCCATAGTCATAGGATCTGCTGAAACCCAGGAGCAGTCGGGACAACTCCCCTACGGCTTCTATACTGCAGGAGGCATCTGGAACCACTTAGGAGTGATCTGAGCTCTCAGACCTCTCAACACACTACACTACTCCAACAGGAATTTTCCCACACTTGCACACAAGCTTCCAATTTCCGGAGGAGCCCAATCAGGCTGGCCCCTCTGCATTTAAGGTCTTCATTAGTCAGAGAACAGATTTAGAGACATGGTTCACAGGGCCTTGGTTCAGCAAACTCAGCCCTTCGGGCACCATAGAGGGTCATGCTCAGAACAGTATCATCTGACAAGGTCCCTAATTGAAGCTTTAGCTGACAGGGTCAGAGACCTACTATTCAAATGGACTGCTGAGAACTGACCAGCTCAGCCTGACCCCTCATGTAGGGAGCATGGTATTTCTAACCAGCTTTCACACAGAGTGTCTCTGCTAACTAATCATAGCTAACAGTGCTCCTTCTGTTCCCTATTCTTCTGCACTGTACCCACGCATGGCTTTTGCGTCAGATGCCCTTTTGGGCAGGGCAGCAGCTCCTCGTTCTGTTCCACTACAAATCACCACCTACACTAATGAGGATTTTGAGTTATGTACAAAAAATCAGCTAGCAAACAAAAAATACACACTCATTTCCATTGCTGTAGAACTCTCAAAGACTTGGAAACACCACCACATAAGTTACCTACAGAACTCTCATTTGTCCTGCTGCAAATGCTCTAGGACAAGATCTACAGCTATGCAACTGTAGATGGGTTTCTTTCCCACCTCCACAGGCCACTCAGCACAAAAGGAGAGGAAGTAGCTGCTAAGTACTTGTGTTCAGTGAGTTGTCCCTGGCTTATCTTCTTCATACATGGAAGAGTTTGCAGAATTAATCACCTACTCATGTGTTCCGGGTTTTTGCTCTTTTTCCTCCTTAGGGTATTTGTGACTACAGCATTCAAGAGCCTCACAGACTTTAAAAAAGGGTCACTTCCGCTGTGGTAGAACACTGTTTATTTATTGGAGGAATGGATAAGGAGACAGATCAGGGAAAAAGAACCTCAACACCTGCCCCACACTCAATTTGACTTAGCATCTCTGGGCAACCTCAGCTCCCCTAGAAGACCACCCAAACTGTCTTTGCAAGGCAGCCTCTTAGGCCCCTGATCAGGGGACCCGAGCTTCTCAGGGCCTGCAGCTTTGGAGAGGGCTACTAGACAGCGCTGAGGGCTTTAAAGATTGCTGGAGGTGCCGGGGCAAGGTCCAGGTGGGGTGCTAAGAGAGGAGATGGGGACTGGGGATGCCTGAAAATTCGAGGTAGTCAGACACCTCTGCTCCCTCCTGTACCAACTCCCTTCCCCTGGCATCTTCCCAAGACCTGCCTGCCTCTAGCAGCTCAGAGCTCAGCACCTCTGCAAACTGGGGCCCAGCCTCACGTAACAGAGGCACTCAGAAACCTTGGAACAGGCAACTGAGCTTTCCGCTGAAGTGACCTCTTTCTAAATTTTCCCTAGCTTTTACATACTCTGTCTATTAAGGGTTATTTTGACAGCCCCTGTACATGTGGCCTAAACTAGGGCTTTCAAACAGGAAGGGGAAATAAATAAATAATAATAAAAAAGTCTGATTTTGTAGAACCCTGTCCCAAAAAGGGCATGAAAGCTTATGCCCCAAGTCTTCAGCGCTGCTATACCCACGGCAGTGCAGAATCGAGAGGAGCAGGGTATTTACCACTTGACAGAATATCTGCTGACACACAAGGGGTGAAAGAGGCTGGGTGCCAACTGCTGCCAGACCCTGCGTCTTCAATGGCCATCTCCTGGCTATGCTTTATAGCTACAGGATGTAGATAGATGGGAACAGCTGCCTGCACAAACTGTTTTTTAGCACTTCAGAGTTTGGTTGGGTCACAGAGGTTCAGTACTGGGTTTGGGAACAGGGAGCTAGCACCTGCAGCCTGATGCAGCTCTTCTGCCAGCTCATGCTTCCTGGACAGGTTGGTTGGTCCTGACCTTTAGCAGTGGTTGTGTGCTGCCCTGTGGCCCAACCTCAAGTTAGAGTGCTGCTGTTCGGCTATTACTTTGGCACGCTGCCCAATGCTTTTCTACAGCACGTACACTTAAATCCTCCACTTCCACTGTTTTCAGCATTTCAGCCCCAAATAAACCTGAGCAGCTTTCAAGAAACACAGCAAAACACTTCTGTGGCCCTGGATTAGTATACTCCTTGCAAGTTTCAAAGGCCTGTGGTGCCCAGTGGATATAGCCAAGCTTCTCAAGAGATTACCAACTTTTTTTTTTTTTTTTTTTTAAATCAAAAAGTGTCCTACAACTGTAGGTACAGATACCACAACCATCCTCTTCCTGACAGAGTCAGCATAGATTCACAATGGCATTTGATCTTATTCGAAATATTAAAAAACATGCAGGAATTTCATCAACTCACTCAAAACACATGTTCTTGGAAGTATCCCAGAGCTTATGGGACATCTTAAAGCAAACTTTCATGCCAGGTAATGAAAAGAAATATAGCCAAAAAATAGAAGTTATCAGCTTCCAAAGGGGTTACCGACATTCTAGGTTTGCAAAGCTGTTCCCAGCATCTTTATCCGTTATGCTTTAAGGATGCACAGAGACAGTGGTTTTGAACTTTGTAGCCTTGTACGCAAGGGAGTCAGAGGTCTATTCCCAAAGGCTCAGTTTCTAAGAGGCACTGAAGTTTATGACGTCTCCCCAGACAGCTGGTTCTCTGCCAGCATACACTGCTAGAAAACAGGAAGGAGATAACAGCTGATGAGAAGTCCAAACATTTTGAGCATCGCTGAACTGTGTTCAGAAGGAAAAAAACTGTCATTTCCAGATTGACAGGCAGAAATAAAATTATGCACTGGAGTTTCTGCAAATGCCA